TTCCCCACTCCTCCACTTGCACCTGCTGATGTGACCTTGGGTCAGTCACAAGCTCTGGCACAGCTGTTCCTGAAAGAGCAGTTTGTGTCAGAGTTCTCTCAGCCCCACCCACCTCACAGGGTGTCTGTTGTGGGGAGGGGAAGGGAAAGGGGTTTGTAAGCCGCTCTGAGACTCCAAGTGAAGGGCGGGGTATAAATCCAATCTCTTCTCTTCTTCTTCTTCTAAAAGTCATAAAACCAATTAAGTAGCTGTTTGTAGGTTTGGCTTCAGATCTCTGGTCAATGAAGCCAATAAATGAAAGGAAAGGATTAATACAGAGGAATTGGTAAGACTTAAAAAAAAAGAGCCTCCCCCTTGGCAGAGGAAGACAGTGAAGTACATTATGCTAAGGTGGTGGGAGGTTTGGAATGTTTCTGATACTCCTCATTCCTCATATAAAGGTAAAGGTTTCCCTTGCTCGAAAGCCAGTCGAGTCCGACTCTAGGATTGCGGTGCTCATCTCCGTTTCAAAGCCGAAGAGCCAGCGCTGTCAGAATACATTTCCGTGGTCATGTGGCTGGCATGACTAAACACCAAGGCGCACGGAACGCTGTTACCTTCCCACCGAAGCTGTACCTATTTATCTACTTGCTATTTCTTGCTTTCGAATGGCTAGGTTGGCAGGAGCTGGAACTAGAGACGGGAGCTCACTCCGTCATGCGGCACACTCGGGTCTCGAACTGCTGAACTACCTGATCAATAAAGCCTGCAGTTCAGCGTCTTAACCACTTGAGCTCCATTAATTTCTCATGCATTATTCCAAATAAAAATGGCTTTCCTTTCCACTGATCTGAGGGTACCAAAGAGCAGATCTAGTGAGTGAACAATGTCTCTGCACCATGTTTCTGGAAAGGTGGTATATCAATTGACTAAATTACCTCTGGGAATTGTTCAGATGAACAGATCTTTCTGAAGAAAAAGCTTAAACTCTATATGTGTCAGGTATTTCAATGACTCAGTATCAATAGCAGGTTCTTAAGCATATTCAACTTTATTGATGAGAGTAGAGTGAAGTCGACTTGGACACTTTGAGTCAGGAATAACACATACAAAATGGCAGTAACAGATATAGTGGGTTCATACATTACCTCCTGACACATAGAGGCCAATAAGAAATGAATATAAAACTCAGGGAACTGTGTAAAGGATCAGGAGTGAGCGGGGGAGTTGGAGACATTCGGGCCCAAGCGATGAGCGCTCAAGGCCAGCTGGTCGATAAGGAGCAAAAACGAAACACAGCTGCAGAGCAGAGCACATTCCAGCCGAAAGGAAAAACTTCATGGCGGGACTACCCGACAATATGTAACATGGAATGAAGTAATATATTTCTTGCACAATTTTAGTGCAATTGATAGAATAGTGACAAAACTGTTTCGCAGGTGTGTATGTCCAAAGGTAAAATCAATAATGTTTCATGTCTAGGGCTAACGTTAACCAGTAGAGTGTTCATTAAAAACAACCGAAGCTTCAACCGTGGTGGTGTTAAATATGTTCTTACAGCTGTCTGGTCATGCTGGTCAGATCCCGACAACACACGTAAGCAAGATTTTAAAAACAGCTGGGGAACCAGAAAGTTTTGCAATAATAAACTGAGGTCTTGTGACATCTTAAAGACTTAACAAGTTTTGGCTCTAGAGACTGTAATAGATTAGAACCCACTTTGTCATATGCATATAGTGTCCTTTGGTAGCCACATTGTCCTGTATATGTAAATAAAATAAATAATGAAAAATAGTTGTAAATAGTGGGATTTGTTGAACTGGTTAACACCTGTAATGACGGTTTCTTCTTTTTCTGTCTTGACTGAGAATGTAAATTTGATTACTGTGATGAAATTCAAAAAAGTTTTTGAGTCCAATAGACCCGCACCAAAAAATAATAGTTTAAAAAGATTGCACACTCCTAGTTAGGGTTGCCAGCCCCCAGGTGGGAGTTGGGGATCCCCCAATTTCATGGGCTCCTGCCCACCACCAGCCTGATGACCAGCAGGGTTAGCCCCACCCCAACTGCCAGGGCCGGCCATGACGTCCTGACATGATGACATCATGCGGAAGTGACGTCATGATGCCAGGGTTGTTGCATGGCAATGCTGTGATATTTGGGGCAAAACTCTATACTAACCATAGAGTTTTGCCCAAAATACCCTGGTGTTGCTGTGCATGATGGCGTGGCCGGGAGTCCCCCGCTCCCAGCGAAGATAGACTTGGCAACCCTATTGGCTTCTCTTATGTTCTTATGTAACAGTGGGAGGGCTCCTAGTGTCCTGGCCCCACTGCTGGACCTCCTGAGGGCACCTGGTATTTTTGGCCACTGTGTGACAGAGTGTTGGACTGGATGGGCCATTGGCCTGATCCAACACTGGCTTCTCTTATGTCCTTATGTAACAGTGGGAGGGCTCCTAGTGTCCTGGCCCCACTGCTGGACCTCCTGAGGGCACCTGGTATTTTTGGCCACTGTGTGACAGAGTGTTGGACTGGATGGGCCACTGGCCTGATCCGACATTGGCTTCTCTTATGTTCTTATGATTTTGCTGGCGTATGACAGTGCTGTAGGGACGTATATCGTTGTTCCGGTATATTATTATCATTACTGTTGTTGCTTCGCATAAGTTATCTTGGAACCCCATCTTGAATCTATAGTTAAATATCCTTGGAGCACCATGGAAGGAATTTTAGTGAATTGTATTTATTGTATGAGCTGCGGTGGCTCAAGTGGTTAAGAAGACGCTGAACTGCAGGCTGTGGAAGGTCAGTAGTTCAGCGGTTCAAGACCCGGGTGCCGCAAGACAGGGTGAGCTCCCGTCTCTAGTTCCAGCTCCTGCCAACCTAGCAGTTCGAAAGCAAGAAATTGCAAGTAGATAAATAGGGACCACTTCGGTGGGAAGGTAACAGCGTTCCATGCGCCTTGGTGTTTAGTCATGCCGGCCACATGACCACGGAAACGTCTTCGGACAGCGCTGGCTCTTCGGCTTGGAAACGGAGATGAGCACCGCAACCCTAGAGTCGGACTCGACCGGCTTTCGAGCAAGGGAACCTTTACCTT